TCAATCAAATATATTATATTGATTAGATTAATTTTTAATAACTCACATATATTAACAATAACGTGCTGATTTATGACCAATCACTTGAACTTTTAGATTGATTAATTCAAATTTTGTAGTTGCAGCACTGTATAATTTTTTATATTTTTTGTACAGAAATATAGAAAGAACAGTAGTAATGAAAAAATAAAATGGAGCACTACTCAGGGATTTTATATTGTAATATAATTTAGGACTATTTGTAAATTTCAATAAAATGACCAAATTAACTAAGATAATTCTTACACCCATTTGCAAGAACATTTTGAAAATGATACAGATAGTTAGATTAGATAGTACAGTAATGCTACCTTGTTTGTTATATTTTTGTTGCTGTTTCAATTTTGATCAAGTTAACAGATTTACGTTAAGTATTACTACAAGCTGGTATCAAAAATGGTACAATGTAGGTAGAAAACAAGCGCTCCATTTTGTTTAATTTTAATGAAAAAATTCGAAAATAAACAAAAAATTTATTAAAAAAGAAGAATACTATTTTAAGGAATACAATTAACGAGGTTTACTTCATCTCGACTTTCTACTTGATAACTGTTTGTATGATTTTACGTTAAGTATTTCAGAAATAACCAACAAACATTGCAACGAGTGCTAGTAATGTGCAGTGAGAACATAAAAAAATATAATTAGTTTCATCAACCCTTAATTTTTCTAAAAAAAATTGCTTTAAATGAAATGAAAAAAACTTGTCGTTCATTATGTTCTCAAATAGTCAAATCTAAAAACTAACCACATATTTTTAGAGGAGCTTCAAGCTCCAGCAAGATGGGTTGCTGAAGAAATATTTCTCTCGATTTGAGGCAAAGTCCCCTGACTTCTGCTTCTGTCATGTGAACAGGTTTTCCAGGACGACATCCTCTCACTGAAACAAAAGACAATTTTAAAAAACGTCGACGAATATATAAAAAAAATAATATCAGATAATTTTGCGAGCTAATTAATACACTTCAACGCTACATGTTTACTCAGGCGTAGCTACCACAAAGTAGAGCAAATAATTTAGCCGTCATTGAGTGTAATTTCTAACATTTCATCTATATGTATTGCAGATTTATTAGTAACCAATGGCTATGGAGTGAAGTTACATGATGCGTGTATATGTTAGTTACAAGTGTCTATGTTTGGTTCTGCGAAACATTACAATTATTAACTGAAACAACTTAATATCTAATTAAAATTTAAAACTACAATTCTCCAACGTAATTCGTGCATTATGTGTTCCTTATTTAATTACACTCAAGAAATGTACGCAAGCAATTTACTGCAAATATAACATCGTATTATTTGAAATTAGCAATTAAATGTTTTGGTTTCGTAGGAATTACATTGAAAGTTCTCTAAAGAAACTAAGATTAAATTAAATAAATGTTTGAACATTTCTCTTGATAGCCTGTGATCATAATTATTATTTTATTAGAAACCAAGCAGGATTATTAAAAATCGATTTAAAACTTGACCCAAAATTATTTAAATTTTTGGTTTGATTCTATGAATTTTTTGGATCATAATCATTTAAAATACATTTTGAGTACATATCATAAATAAATATATTACAGTGTGTTTTGGTGCAAATAGGCACACCCTAGCAAAAATGGAAATTATTATCTGAAACCACTAGAATTCAAGGAAACAATGAGTAATTTTATTTCTGATTGTGATAAATCAGATTGAGATTGACTGTATTTGTTCATAAGCCAACCGGATAAAGAATATATGAAATATAAAATATGTGATAGGCCTCAAGACTCAGAATAACATTTTCATGTTAGAAATGGTTCTTTATGAGTTGTAAAATGTCAAATGTTTATTATTAGATTAGTCCTTGTATTTGAAAGGCCGATGAGTTTATTTAGAGCTACAACTGGAAGCGTACTTTCAAAAGGAAACGTCTAGTTAATTAGGATTTGATTATATTTTAGTATTCTCTAATTTTTGCACTGTTAATGAGTTTGTAGCGAGGCCTCTTTCTGATATAAATATTCAGTTTAGTTGTGTTATGTTGAAGGTGTTGAAAGTACCGAACTACATATAAAACTATCATTGGTTTCAACTGCTAGAGCAAAGGAATCAGGGCTTGGTTACAATCTCATACAATCTTACATTCAGGTGGTATAAAAAATGTCTTGAAACCTAATTTCTTCTTGTCAGTTGAGTCAAGATCCAAATGCTGAGTGCTTCTATGAGCTGATCAGATGTACGATGCCAGGAATGCACAAATTACAAAATTAATCAAATTTTAATTGAACTTACCATCATAATTATGATATACTTAATATACGGTAGAAATTTTAAAATTGTCGGACTCACATAAATTATAAATCAACACAAACGAAAGCAAAGAACTATTAGAAGCACAAAATCAAAAAGCGCAATCAAGCATCAAAAAGTTTGATGCAGCAAATCCTTTTTCTCTTGTATGCAAGGAATTTCTATAATTCTGACCCATTGAATTGAATCGATCTGACAGACGTGTAAAAAACATCCCTTTGCAGTTATACTGCTCGAAAACTCGATCAAATTTAACTTTGCTAAGAACCTTAAAAGTAAACTAATTGGACGAAAATATAGTAATCAGAAAATACCTTCTAATAATCGCTGAATTAAGCTATCGAGATTTAATTCTGGCTCAGCCATTTTTGTTCAACAAACTAAAAATAACTTCGTTGCCAACTTAAAATTTTGACATTGACAATCAAATCTCTAGGGTATTCATTTATTAACCTCATATTGTTCGTCTCTGTCTTTTAACAGAACATTAGAACATAAAAAATTGCTACAAAATTATTTAAGAAAGGA